CCTAGCCATGCCCTTGGAGTGTTTTTTACTGTTCCTGTTTGGGACTTCTTTACTGCACTTCAGCAAGGAAGGGCAGTAAAGCAAATAGAAAAAATCTTTTATATATTTCCTTTGTACAGAACCTTGGTGGCCCTACATCAGTTGCAATGCTCACAATGCCACACTACTAACTATGCTAGCTAGGGCTGCTTGGAGTTTCAATTAACAAAATCTGGAGAGCTACACAAGTCCCACCACTGGTATCCAGCAATGATTCGATTGCCAGCACAAGAACCGACTCTTGCTACAGGCTGCCGCGTGGCTTGAGAATATTGCATAAAAAGAGGCATCCAAAGCACAGTTATGATCCCCACCCACACAGAACAACTTGCCAGTTCTGTTCTTTTTCTCTCATGTATTCCTGCTGAGATTTCTTCCCCAGAGCCTTAGACGCACACACAAAAGGGGGGAACATGTTTTACAGTTCTTTGGTGTGCATTTTTTCTCTTTGAAAGTTGAGTGGAAATATAAAATGTCAGCACTATAGTCTTATTTCTTACAGAGAGATAAAAAAGCAAAATTGGTTCAATTCTCAACAGCTTAATGGATACATTTATAGAACTCTTCAGAATTTGCACTGTGAAAATTCCTCAGGGATTTAAAGTAGGATACTTTTAGCCAAAGGTGTAGTTAAGAGGGATACAAGAGAAAGAAGCACATTTACAAAATTCTCACAGACATTTATTTATTATTACTGCTATTACTGGCAATATGAGGACAGCATAATATAGTGGTTTTGAGCATTGGACTAGGAGATTGGGAGATCAGGCTTCAAATCCCCGCTTGGCAATGGAAACCCACTGGCTGGCCTTGGGCAAGTCACACACTCTCGGTTTCAGAGGAAGGCAATGGCAACCCCTCCTGAACCATTTTTCCCAAGAAAACCCAGGACAGGTTTACTTTAGGGTCACCATAAATCAGAAACAACCTGAAGGCACACAACATACAGGATGAGGCAGCATAACTTCCTTTTTTAAAATGTGCACCATTCAGTCGGCTGAAGATGTAGCGGAGCGCTAGTGGTCTCGTTCGAGAAGCGGGAGTATAAAGTTTTGTCCTGACATAGTTCAGTTGCCATCATGCATTGGAACAGAGAGGAGCATGCTTTTGCCATTGAGGCCTACTTTTCGAGCAGATTTGGAGTGGCCGGCCCGCTCTCCAGATTTGGCCCCTTGTGCTTTTTTCTATGGGTTTTTTTCAAATCCCGGGTTTATGTGAACCGTCCAAGGACCCTACAAGATTTGAAGACCAACTTCCAGGAAGAAATTGCCAACATAATGCCTGCTATGCTGGCAAGAGTCATGACAAACGCCAGAAATCCGTTTACTCGGTGTATGGAGAATGGAGGACGTCACCTACCTAATTTGATCTTCAAAACTACATAAAACAAAACTTTAGGTATGCGCCTACATTATAAAAAAATAAAAATTTCTGATTCATACAATGGGTTTTATTAAGTTTTGAAAAAAGGAGGTTATGCTGCCTCACCCTGTACAACTGACAGTATATATGCCAATACATAGGGCAGTTTAAATTTATGCAGGGAAACTGGGCTACCAAGACATGTGTCTTAATTTTTAAGTTGATATATTCATCACGCACATACTACAAATGAACTATTTGGGGCATGTGCTAGAGGACTTTTCTTTTCCCAGCATTTTCTGTTTTACCTTTGCCAAACAGAATGTAACTACCGAATTCAAACTTGCCAAAACTTCATATGCAACAGATTCTCAAAATATGAAACCTTGTTATAATTAGCGTACTTAGAGCAAAGGAAAGAGAATTGGGGGGGGGGGGGTAATTGCTCAATTACTCTGCAGGAAATAAAGCTTGAGTAAAGTTCTGATGCAAAGCTGGGGTGAAAATTGCTGGAAGAAACATTAACAACCTCAGATATGCAGATGACACCACTCTGATGGCCGAAAGCGAGGAGGAGCTGAGAAGCCTTCTAATCAAGGTGAAAGAAGAAAGCGCAAAAGCTGGGTTGCAGCTAAACATCAAAAAAACCAAGATTATGGCAACAAGAATGATTGACAACTGGAAAACAGAGGGAGAAACCGTGGAGGCCGTGACAGACTTTGTATTTCTAGGTGCAAAGATTACTGCAGATGCAGACTGTGGCCAGGAAATCACAAGACGCTTACTTCTTGGGAGGAGAGCAATGTCCAATCTCGATAAAATAGTAAAGAGTAGAGACATCACACCGGCAACAAAGATCCTCCTAGTCAAAGCCATGGTATTCCCTGTAGTAACCTACGGATGTGAGAGCTGGACCCTAAGGAAGGCTGAGCGAAGGAAGATCGATGCTTTTAAGCTGTGGTGTTGGAGGAAAGTTCTGAGAGTGCCTTGGACTGCGAGAAGATCCAACCAGTCCATCCTCCAAGAAATAAAGCCCGACTGCTCAATGGAGGGAAGGATACTAGAGACAAAGTTGAAGTACTTTGGCCACATCATGAGGAGACAGCAAAGCCTAGAGAAGACAATTATGCTGGGGAAAGTGGAAGGAAAAAGGAAGAGGGGCCGACAAAGGGCAAGATGGATGGATGGCATCCTTGAAGTGACTGGACTGACCTTGAAGGAGCTGGGGGTGGTGACGGCCGACAGGGAGCTCTGGCGTGGGCTGGTCCATGAGGTCATGAAGAGTCGGAGACGACTGAACGAATGAACAACAACAAAGTTCTGATTCACTCCCATTTCCATCTTTCAAAGGCCTTTCCTGGATCTCAACTGGCCAGGGAGGGCTGCACTCAAGCTGCTTATTTACTTGTGGGAATCAAGGGGTATTCCCAGGCAAAGTGTACAAAAATATGGTTATGCCAGTTCCTTCCCACAAAATGTACCCATCAGAACCCAGAATTCATTGGCAGTCTCTCATCCAGGGCTGACTCAGCTTAGCTTTCAAAATAATATGAGATTTGGTTCTTTCAGGGCATTTAGAACCTTCAATACTACACTATCAGCAAGAAAATCAGGGGCGTCAATTTCAAAATAGATGGTAGCTAACCTACTTAATTAAATCATGTCCAACCTTCTGCTAAGAAAAGGAACTTAAGTTCTACCAATTAGATCTGAAGCTTGGTCATCGTGCTTTTGAGCTGACCATTGCACTCCTTGGCATCATAAGAACTAGGTCTATGTGAAGTTGGCTTGTTCCATTCCTCTCTACGCACTTGCATAAATTTAGCTGGAAATGGCACCTCAAGGGGGAAGGAAACTGCTGTGGTGAAAGATTCTTCATTTTTCTGGGTCCTAAGATCTGGATCCTAAGAGGGAAAAAGCTCAGTGGTTCTACTTGCTTGCCTAAAAAACAAAGGAAAATCCTCCACCTGAACAAACTTCATAGAAGTGGATTATTACCTTCTTCTTTAAAAATTCTCCTTTTTGTACTTCTCCCATAGCCTGAGTCAGTAATAGAAGATTCCCCACTGAGAAGTGTGTATCACAGACCATGCTGTTTAGTTGGAGCTGCACTTCTTTGGGGGGAGGGGGGTTAGGTTTTGGGGGGTGGCTGCCTCAAGCTCAGAGACTTAAGCCTAATCCTCTGCCAATGCTTGGCCCCACTTAAAGTTATAATCACCCAGATGGTCAAGATGGTGACCGCCAGATCCATTCTCCATCCAATCTGCCAGTGAGCTCCAAAGTCGCTTGTGAAGTGAACGTTCCCACCATGGAAATGGAGGTGGCATCCTGGGTGAAAACTGCTCAGAGCCAGGCTGCCAAAGCAAGTAAAAGTTCCTTTCCAGTACTCCATGATTGCCTTCTATGATCCAGCTAGTTTGCTCCCTTGGTTCCTGAATTGTTTTGGCCTGGGCCAAAGCAATGTGGTTTCTCCTCTCCCAGCCACTCCCAAGCTTATTGGCCACCCTACAGCCCTTCCTGCCAGTTTCTTCAGAGGGAGGGAAGAGTTAACACAGGAATATCCCCTTTGATCTTGAAGCTCTTGCCTTTTTTCATCTCTCTGTACTCCCAGAAAATAAAGAAAGAGGGATTGCTGAAGGGTGAGGAGGATGAGCAGAGGTGCTGGAAAATGGAGAGCTTTTTTAGTTGTGGGGGGGACGGGGACAAGGAAGAAAACAAGGAAGACTCAGAAAGTGGAAGGAAAAAAGGATGGAGCAGCTGCAAAAACCAACAACTATGTCCAATCTGGAGCAAAGCAGGAAAAAGACTGACCTCCTAGGAACAACATTACCCATGTAAGGACACTGTAAGTTCTTTCCTTTCCCTGCATTATCTGGAATCATAGAATCATAGAATCAAATCATAGAATCAAAGAGTTGGAAGAGACCACATGGGCCATCCTCATGGAACACTGGGAGAAGCATAATTCAAGCTCAACAACTATTTTTTTTCACACATTCAAAATGGTATGGAAACAGATTTATTCCTAATTAAAATATATGTCCAGATATATATATATGTCCAGATTAGATGGAATCATATGTGGAGTGCTAAAAAAAAGGGAACTCGAGAATGCCAGCTGGAAGAACTGGTCCATGGCATGGCACCAGTTACACAGGCAGCACTGCCAGCCAAGACGGTATAATGGCCTGGTCACCATGGTGATAGGGACCCAGATGCTTCACAGTAACCTGATGAGTCTCTCAAAGTCTACGCATACTGAAGAAAGCTACTTAAATCTAAGGAAGGAGTGCATAAAGGATAATTCCCAATAGTGCAAAAACGAGTGAAATAGAAGTTACAGAGAATGCTCTTTGACAAGTCTTTCCCCAAGGATCTGAAGTCTATTTGGGGCGGGTGGACTGGGTCAAAGCATAGAGCAGCCTGGGCCCCTTCCTTAAAATATAGCGGAGTGCATGAATGACAAAAGACCCAGAAGGCTGTGCTTGACAAAATCCTGAGGAAGACACCGCAACGTGCTCTTTCCTGAATCCTAGAAGTGTACATTATTTCAAGTTACCACACAATAGTTCTAGCAAACATGGCAACACAAAACTCACCTTTTCAACTTCATATAGTTTTCACTGGCTGCAGGCCGGCATTCGGCACGCTGGACCACTATTCCTTCCAGTGATAGTTTCTCTTGAACAAAAGGAGATCCAAATTAGCAACAGGAATCTCAAAAAGCGGAAGGTTGATTGTTTATTCTTTTATTTATAATTCTATTTATGCTTCAAAACAATTGCTCCCTCAATACAATCTGCTCAGTTTTCCCCAAAATTTTCTTTTTTTATAATGCAAATGAGTTCAATTGTAGCAAAACACACTATCAGTTTAATAATACATAGCTTTGTATTTAACAATACACCCAGTCCAGTAGAATATTGCTGATTTATTCAATTTATACTTCACCTTTCATCACAAAAGGTCAGGATGGCCAATAATCCATGGAGAAACGCACAGTTAAAATAAAAAATAAGATTTCTAAAATAATAAATTGCAAATATCTAAAGTAAATGCAGTTCAAACAAGCAATATTAACAAACAAAACAGATACTGGCATGTTGCCTGAAAGTTTGTGGAAAAGGCTTGCTTTTAACTATGGTGGGACAACCAGATCCCTAAGGAGCAGTTCCACTGACATGTTGTCAATACCAAGAAACTCTGGAATGAGTGGCTGCCCCCAGTGGCACAATGGATTAAACCCTTTTGCCGGCAGGACTGCTGACCGAAAGGTTGCTGGTTTGAATCCAGGGAGCGGAGTAAGCTACCATCTGTCAGCTCCAGATTCCCATGCAGGGACATGAGAGAAGCCTCCCACAGGATGGTAAAACATCTGGCCATCCCCTGGGCATCATCCTTGCAAATGGCCAATTCTCTCACACCAGAAGCAACTTGCAGTTTCTCAAGTCACTACTGACACAGAAAAACAAACAAACACAACAAGCCACATAATTCCAAAAGGTCACAAGCAAAGCTTCCCTGTCTTCTCTTAACTCTCAGGAAAAAACTGGGGAAAGTATTCCTTTACAGATGTGGGTCCTGAGGTATTTGAGAACTTGTTTCCGAATATTATGCACCTTCAATGTAGTAGCCAATACTGAAATTTCACAACAAGTTGAAAATGCTCGCTTTCCTTGCCAACACAAAGAAGAAACATTTCCAAATGTCCTCAAAAGACTGCAATCTCTTCCTCTTCCACAGATTCTCCCTGTGGATCTGCTCTGCCAGTATTGCTCTGCAGCCATTATTAAGTTATCCCTCAGATTATGTAGATTCACTTCAGCATATGATATTGTTCTACTAGGATTTAGCAGAAATTAAACTCATCTGACCACAGAATAACTTGCCATCGTGATTGTGCCGTTAGTCCCTACTCTGTGCCATATCTAGGTACTCTAAAAACTAGAATGGACATGTCATTTGTAGCTTTTAGAATTGTGCTTTCAGGTCATCAAGTTCAAGCTCAAATATTAAATCAATATACAGCAGGTAAAGATAAAGGTTTTCCCCTGACATTAAATCCAGTCGTGTCCGACTCTGGGGCATGGTGCTCATCTCCATTTCTAAGCCGAAGAGCCGGCATTGTCCGTAGACATCTCCTAGGTCATGTGGCCAGCATGACTGCAAGAAGTGCCCTTACCTTCCCACCAGAGTATTACCTATTGATCTACTCACATTTGCATGTTTTCGAACTGCTAGGTTGGCAGAAGCTGGGCAAACAGCGGGTGCTCAAGGATTTGAACCTGCAACCTTTTGGTCAACAAGTTCAGCAACTCAGTGCTTTAACCCATGGTGCCACCAGGGGCTCACAATATACAGTAGTCCCCATCTTTTCCTGAACAAAAAAAAAAAATCAGCATCGCTAAAGAGTTTTGGAAATGTGCAGTATATGACTGAAGGTCTTGAACCCCAAAATGACTGTGTGAGTGTTTGCTGCCATGGTTGCATCACTCTTATATCCTGGCTAGCACTGTATCCCTCCCCACAATGCCTCCTCTCAGTCTTGTTTACAGGTATTTTTTTTTCTCTTATATGTGGGAAGATGCCAGGCAGCAGACATACATGCAACTGTAAACCTATACAAAGAACAGCAATGCTAGTGTGTAAGCATGAAGCTGACACCAGTTGCAAATCAACAGTGAGAATAATATGTGCATAATACAAATAAGGCAATCGCATCACAATCTATCTTTCTTACAGAATGATTCCCCAATGCTGGAACATATGCCAGAAATGTTCCAAGTATTCCTTTAAAAGGCTCTGTGTAGTGAAAACTGGAAGTGTTAATTCCTGTCCTTGCTGTGCAACGAAAAGCTGCAGATCCTTCTGAATCCAGCATCCTCTCTAAGAAACTACACATTCACATTTACACAGTTCCTTTTGTTTTCTACATGTCTGCAAATATTTACAAAAAGGCAGAACCCATTTTAATGATTTAAAACTGATCCTTAAAGCCATAGCTCCTCTGAAAGAAAAAAGAAGCTGCCCTTTAAATGGCATCTTGCAATATTTTGCCTCCAGAACTGAAGTGTTGCTAAGCTGTAATATTATGTGATACCCAGAGATTTGTTACAGATCTGTCAGGTATCTTTCACACAGAAACAGCAGCAAAAAATAAATGTTTCACAGATAAATGAATCTGTGAAACATTTCTACATAAATTAAAATTAAAATTAGAATAATAATAATAATAATGTCATTCCTTGGTAAGATTTCTTCGAGAGAGAAAAAAATATGGATTGCTCTCATGTTCATGATTTTGCCACATAAATGTATTATATCTATCAGGAAACACAGCACTTATTGTCTTTATACACCAGATGCAAAATCTCAACATGATGATAAAGACTTTTGAAAATGGCTACAAAAATTAAGTTTCAGTGCATTATTGTCCATAATCTGTAAAAAAAATGCATTTCCAATTAAGATAAAGAGATGGATTTTCCAGACATCTCATAATTTTAAAATAAATCTATTTAAATATTAAAGAACAAGCATCCATAAATGTCTTTCTGCATGAAACAAAAGGATCCCCTCGTAATTTAAACTCCTGGTTCTTAATGGAAAAATAATCAGAACCTCTTCACCACCAGCCATCCTCTTGTCCTTATACAGTTAAATGCAAATGTGTGCCTTACAGTCATGCTCCCAATACCACACCGCATACATCGCTTCTACGCCACCTACTGCAAACTGTGCTGACAAGCTCATGCAATGCTCAGAGCACTCCCATTCGATCATTATTCTGGAACTGAATAACAGCGCTTTAAGAAGAAATCTCTGCACAAAGCCAAAGAAGAGAAAGGGGAGAAAGGCATTCCTGAGAATGGAACACCAAACAAACAGGCATGAAACGGAGGACGACAAAAAAGGCAACGGCTCCGAAAGCACCGACCAAGGCAAGAACTGTAAAATGTCTCCAATTACTCTCAATGTTGGTGGATATTTGTATGTTACGCAAAAGCAAACACTTTGCAAGTACCCAGACTCTTATTTGGAAAGAGTTGTAAATGGGAAAATTCTATGTCCGTCTGACGCAGAGGGCCATTATTTCATAGACAGGGATGGTCTGCTCTTTCGGCACGTTCTGAACTTCTTACGGAATGGAGAACTGCTTCTACCAGAGGGATTTAAAGAAAATCAACTTCTGGCACAAGAGGCTGGATTCTTTCAGCTCAAAGTATTGGCTGATGCAGTGAAATCAAGGTGGGAGAAGGAGCAGCTCGCATCCAGAGAGACTACCTTCCTAGAAATAACTGACAGCCACGACCGTTCACAGGGCCTTCGGATTTTTTGCAATGCTCCCGATTTCATAGCAAAAATAAAATCTCGCATTGTTTTGGTGTCCAAAAGCAGGCTGGATGGCTTCCCAGAAGAGTTTTCCATCTCTTCCAACATTATTCAGTTTAAATACTTCATAAAGTCAGAAAATGGAACTCGGCTTGTTTTGAAGGAAGATAATACTTTCGTTTGCACCCTGGAAACTCTTAAATTTGAAGCTATTATGATGGCATTGAAGTGTGGATTTAGGTTGCTGACCAGTCTGGATTGTACCAAAGGGTCAATTGTTCACAGTGATGCACTTCATTTTATCAAGTAATTACTTCTCTCAATAGACAAAAGGCCATAAGCATGCAGCCTGTGAATTTCATTAAACTTCAAGACATCGCAAAATGATTTCATCAGCTCTGTCTATCACAGAGCACTGCTGCTAATGAATAAATATGAGCTAATGGTATGTAAACTGTAACATTCCTCTCTGAGTGCTTTGTGCCTAAACTTAATTTTTTTTACAAGATACTTAGTGAACATGATAAAAACGTAAGAGGAAATTCTGAAGCTATTTGCATCTATTTTTCTTCTTTTGTCTCTTACACAGAAACTAGCTAAAATGTTAATATGTTTTTGTGGCTAAATGTACAAATGGAAATTAAGTTTGAGGTTTTATTAGTTAATTTAAATGCAAGGCTTACAGAAATTCTACAATTCATTTGAATTAATGAAGGTAAATCATGGTGTCTACTTGATTTTAACCAGCATTATAGATGAGTTCACATCCTTTACATCTGTGAGAATCATATTTTCAGGCACAGAAGTGGAGGACTGGAAGAGACTAAAAAGTCATCTAGCCCATTATTCTGTCAAAAGGATCCAGTCAATATCAATATATACAGTATATCATATATGGTATATCTTAATAAAGGAGTAGGAGGGACCCAGTAAGAAGAGATATATACCATATTTATACTGTATGTAACAGTTCCTTGTCTTTCAAAAAATACTTGATCAGGGCAAAACATTAAGAGCTAGACTTAATGCAGTACAATCAAAACTTTATCCAGGGGTAAGGGCATTAGTAAAGATCATAGCTAAGTCTAGTAGGCTATGAAGCAGAAGCCAGGGTTCAAGAAGCCCTTCAAGAAGCTAATATTATTTTTAAAAGGACTATGTTTCTGTTATAAAGACAGCATGATTTACTATACAATTAATGAGGTCTTGCTCTTCTAATAGTTTCAAATAACTGTTGGGACAAAACTGAAGCCTGAACAAGGCATTTTCATTCTTTAAACAAGGGGGTTTCTTTGCAGGATGCACCAAATCATTGGGATCTTTCCACAGGGCGACTGGTGGTAGAGAACTATGGGTTGGGGGTCAGCAGAGAAGAGGGGAAAGTCTAGCCAGAGCAGTCCCTGAAGCTCTCTCTCATGCCTCCTCCTCCTCCCCACTCTCTCTCAGAATCTCCTCTTGTCCCCATTTGGCAGGTACAACGTTCCATGCATTTACTGAAGTGGAATCTAGTCCATGGAAGCTTATCTCCCAATAAATTTTAAAGCCATTAAGGTCCCACAACCAACTTGGTTGGTTTTGATGCAACAGATTAACGTAGCTTCTCCTCTAGAATAGATCATGACTGCAGTACTTGGGATATAAAACAGGTTCTGAATAAGGACAGAAAGACTTTGTAAAATAATTTTAATTTTGTGTTTTTGAAACTGAGCTGTAAATTATTTGAACCAAAAGTGTATAACAGGATATTGCAAATAGCAACAATTATGTCTAGATAGTTATCATAGGTGGTGAAACTATATCCAAGATCTCAGTACTACAAAAAACATTGCCTCCTAAAAAGATTATTGTTAACTGTTCTGACCATTCAAAGCACTGCATGTATATAATGTTGCAATACTTACAATCTGTAAGGTATTGTCTGTATTATTACTATACACAGGAGATGATGTGATGAGAAGGAGAAAATAACCTTCCTGAAAGCTATTTTTTAAGTTCATAAACAAAAAGAGAGACCCACAAATTGGTTTCCACTTGCTGGCTAAGTCTCTTAACCACTATGCTATACCTGTTCTTAAATTTGGTTTTTCATTTAAAGAGCAATCAATCTGACATGTTTTAGGCATTATCTGATCACAGTTGCCGCCCCACCCCAATATTAATACTAATGCCGTTCACATATTTACGATGACAGACCTAGAGATTTGAAGAACATTCATTACTATTCCTCTTCTAGAAGAAATAAGGGTGTATTGTTACTCAAGGCATCTGCACAAGAAGAGACCAGCCATAAGACCACACACTTTCAGACTTCATTGAGAATGATACACTTGGACAAATGAATGTGGGGGTTTCCTGTGCAGCAAATTCCTATACAAACATAACAGGGTTTTGTACAGCATGTATATACAGAGAAAGTGCATGTGGTTTTGTTGTGCAAGAATCAAGCATTCATATAAATTGCAAAAATTAATATAAACAAACAATACAGCACAAATAAACCATGTGTAGTTTTATGGCATGCATTTTCTGAACAATACTTTGCCCAAAATAAAATGTTGGCCCCACATGAGTTCTGTACCAAAATATGCATTCTTGCACAAATTGGTTTTTCCTAATAACGTCCCAAAGTATAAATAGTGCTAGAAAACTGTGCATAAGGACTTCTCATAGGCTGGGAAGTAAATTACTGAAATTATTTGTACTTGCAGGCAGAAATAACATAAGCAAATATTTATATTCCTAGAACCAAGCACATTATATGCTACCTGAATAGGATACCCAAATAAATGCAGTCCATCCACTGGTACATAAGGACACTAATACTGAGAAATAATAGTGAATCCAGTCTCCAAAATACAGCTGTCTTATTTCTAAACCAACAAGTAGGAATCACAAAAGGCAACTATGGTGCATAATAATAATTTTAAAAGGATACAGATGAAGAAACATAAATGTCTCAGCTTTATCAGTCAATGTATGCATATGAGTTAGCTATATCTAGATTAAGGTTGATACATGCTGAGTATCCCCTTATCTAAAGTGCTTGGGACCAAAATGTTTTGGATTTTGGAATATTGGGACCCAAACTAAATCCAGCATTCAGTTTATGTTTTATATATACACAATACACCTTATAGCCTAAAGATATGGTAATTTTATATACAGTATTTTTGAATAATGTTGTGCATATACAATATTTCATGTACACCTAGACATCAGAAAGCAAAGGCGTCACTAACTCAGCCACCCATGTGGACTACTTTTGGATTTTGGAATATTCCAGATTTCCAGATAAGGGATATTCATCCTGTATATGCAACAATTGTAATTTTCACTAGAGACAACATAAACAATTGGAGGATGTTGTCAAAGCCTGCTGATACATAATGCTGACCCTCTACAAAACATGCTTTGTACTCTGGGAACCAGTCTCAAGACAGGCAAAACTCCCTGTTTTTCACTCCTTTGAAAATCATCTTAACTTCAAGCAATTCTTGGCATTGGATTTCTTGTTATAGTAGAAGCCAACATGAGAAGAAGGGAGGATACTGATGCTTAAGAAAGAAGAAAGCATATATTCCCAAGACTGGGCACTGAATTGTGGACAGCACAAGGAAAGTGTTGTCAGGGGCTGAGCATAGGGACCGGGACAGATAAGTGTTAAGCAACAGTGAGACTGGATGTGATTTGCTTGATAAAAGCTTTGTGCCTTTTTCCATTTGTCGTTTTTTTGAAAGGTGAAGGACTTGCTTATCAGGATTCACCCAATGGTGCCCATAGGGACATACATTTTCTTTGCCCTGCTCTTCAGTTATAAAAACAGTTTCTGATAATACTGCTCCACAGCATGCCCAAAGGGAACTATGAATCTACAAAGAAAGAGGATGGTCTATGGTAGAAGGCATAAAAAGATGACTGGTGCTTGAAGCATTTCTGACACATATGTCTCAACGGCACTGTTTCATGTTTACTTACCCCTGAACTTATTAGATCTTGGCATATGGCTCAGATTAAATAGAATGACAGGGAAGAAAGGTCAACATTCGGAAAAAGCCATAAAACTGTACTACTACGAAGGAAATCCAACTGTGGATGGATCTGATTTACCATTCCTTCCATCCAAATGCAGATCACAAAATAAAAACACGTCCTGTCCACAGACACATGTGACATATGAGTGCGTGTTCCACACTGTGCTTGTTTTCTATATAACAGGATGATTATAGGAATAAATAAAACATGTAGAGCACCCCATAATGTCTAAGGGAAACAACGATATGCACCTTTCCCAATAACATTCAGACCAGCACAAAAAAAGTCTCAAATAGAAGACAACATATCTCGGTAAAACAAAGCTTCACTGGCTGTTGCTTTGAGGTAACTGGATATGTGAATGTCACAAACAGAGAAAGAGTCACCCTATTTGACATTTGACATCCAAATGGATGTTCATCATGAACAATGAGCAGCAGAGTTAATCGGAAGGAAACCTCTGAAAATTGACAATATTATTTTGTGCCAATATGTTTGGAAAGGTCGTATCTTGACCGCATTCTTTAATAGTCCTTTAGTTGTTTCCCTTAAATATTTGAAAGCCAAGGTAACGTAGCTAGAAGTCTCAACCTGGATTCAAAACCATACTCAGACATTATGAAAACAAGCCTTACACAATTCAATGGGTCTTGTATACCCATTTTTTCTCAGTATTAAGATTTTTCAAAGGGCTGTTTTGGTAATACATTTGGATGACTTGCAGGTGCTGTTTGCTACGCTTCAGCAAAACATTACAAATGCAACAAACATGACAACATGACAAAGAGCAGTAACACTAGACTTTAATAAATCTTAGCACAAGAGTTCCCAAACATTTGTTTGACTGTTTAAAAACTTGTTAAACCATTTGTATTTTGCTAATCACTTTGTTAGAATTTGTATAATTATGTACTAAAGTAAGACCTTGGCTTTTCAGGGTTCCATCAATATCTTCTAGCACAGTGCTTCTTGAACTTTTTCATGTAAAGGATAAATACTATAACATCAAAAGCTGCCAGGGACCTGCACCACATCTGTTCTAACTGGCAACAATGTACGGTCTTCTTTCTTTCCTAGAACTCTCCATAGACCAGCAGTTGATGGCTCACAGACCAACATCAGTTCATGATCCACCATTTTGAGTAGCACTGTCCTAGACTATGTCATGTCCTAGCCCCTTTAAGTCCCAATTAAGAGAGTAAAGCAGGGTATCAACAATAATTCAATACTAATAACTTGTGCATCCAAATAGGAGAAGCCACCAACCCTTTCCATTTCATGTGCAATGTGTCTTCTTTTCTGGCTGTTCAATACCTGGGTTGGGCTAGAAATAACATGGAGTCGCAAATATCCAGCTTTAGTTTTATGATTGTGAGGTTGACTCTTGACTATATAAAACTTTTCTGATGTTTA